TTCTTCTACTATGTCAGCCGAATTTTTCTTAGACTTTGGAAAGATTCCATATTCTCCGCATACTCTTGTTGAGGGTCAAGATTTTTCGGCTGTTCCAAATCTTCATCTAGTTCTGTGAAGTTAGTTTCCAAAGGAGGGACTTGTTCGTTTCCTTCAGGCTCTTCTAGCTGTTGTTGCTGAACTATTTCTTCCATGTCTGGTTGTATCTGAACTTCTTCCTGTGGAGTTTCTTGTACCTCATCTGCTGGCATTTCATATATTCCGAGACCGTTTTTAACAAGTTCCCTATTTAAGTCATCCGCATTCATAACCCTTTCTTCTTTCGTTCCGTCTCTATTTTTTACGCGTTTCATGAAGATAGTTGAATTATCATTTATCTCTGACACCAAATATCTCGGAGTAAATTCATCCATGTCATTTGGATGATATGCTATTAAATCATATCCCTTAGCGAGCTTGTATTTTCCAGGTTTGAAATTATATCGCATTTGGTGCTGAACCATAAAGCTAAATAGGTTCGGGTCAGTATTTCCTTCCTTGAACTTTCTAATAGCTTCTTTATATCTGTCACTAAAGTCAAGAGTATCTGGGTAACCATAGTCTTCCTTAAGCATTTTTAAGAATTCTTGGTTTCCTTGTTCTCTACTTCTTTTATGTCCTTGCTCTGTTTGTGGCTGTTGCTGTGCAGTGTTTTGAACTGTTGGTTGTGGTGCAGTGTTTTGAACTGTTGGTTGTGGTGCAGTGTTTTGAACTGTTGGTTGTGGTGCAGTGTTTTGAACTGTTGGTTGTTGTGTTGGTTGTGTTGGTTTGGTGCATGCCTGTGTCTGTGTCCATGTACGATGTAAATGTTTTAGGTAGTCCTGGTGCAGGTGCTTCTCTTGGAGGTTTGGTGGTATATAAGTTCACCAGCTGGCACATATGTTCCATCTGCAGCATAATGTCCTACCTGACTTTTCGTTTTTAAGAAAGCATTTACTAGGTCTGTTTTGGTCTGTTGTAACTCTTTTTCTTGACTTTCCACAACAGTTGCTCTAACGGCGTCATAGGCACTTTGAACTGCCTGTCTCGTTGCTGCATCTGTTATTTTCGTCATATTTTGTGCTACTTCTCTTAACTCTTTGTCGAAACCTTCAGACTTCAGTTTCTTTCCAGATGAGAAGTCGTTCACTAGTTTCACCTTACTATGAAGAGCTTCGAAGGCGTTCTTAAAGTCAGCATTCATTAAAGCTTCATGAACTGTCTTCATCCGCTTGTATTTTTGTCCTTATTGACCCTATAAGTTGGGCTGCTTTGGCGTTGGCTTGGGCATCTAACCAGTCATTATTAGCTTTTATATATTCTGCGCTTTTCATTGCTTTTGCATGGCTGCGTCGTTATTTTACTTTCTTGTGCTAAGTTTTCATACTGTACGGTTTGGTTTTGCAACTGTAAAAGTTTTTCTGCCTTTACATTTGCTTCAACTTCTTTTTTATACTCATCGCTATCCATATATGTCTTCAGGGCTTTTTGTTTATCTCTTCATCTTTCAGTACTTTATATTGAGTAGTATGGTTTTTCAAATTTATAACATCTTGTTTTCCATTTTTGCTACTTCTGCTGCTTTTTCTGACACTTTTTTCGCATATTCCTCTGTACTTAGTTCTTTCAGTTGTTCTTCTTTCTTCTTTTTCTCTACGTTTAACTCATTGAGTTTCTTTGTGTGTCTGTCATATTCTAGTTTCTTTTCGTTTTCACTTATTTGTTTCTGTATGTCTATGTTTGACTTTTTGACATCTGTTATTTGATTTTTGAGTGACTCAAATTCATTTGACTTTGAGGGTTATAAGCTGTTCCGTCTGCGGCTCCACCATAGCCTGCCATTTTCGCTAAAAGTGCCGCTCTTAAACCTCCACTCTGTGCACCAATAACTCGGTTTAAAAGCATAGGGTTGCTTGACATTTGTTGCAACATAGTGGGGTCATTCATCATTTGTTGTGCAACTGTTGTTGTGGTGTTAGTTTTACTATTGGATGTTTCAATGCTCTCTTCCTCTTACGTATATTCTTACGTAGCTTACGTGGCATTTTAAGTGAAGTTAAAAAGCGGTTTTTGACAGATGTTTATATGACACTATTTGTTCAGCACAAAAAACTACTCGGTCAAAGTGTTGTCAGTTTTGTAAAATAACCGTCCTATCTTGTTTTAAAATGGAGAAAAGGCTTCTCAAAGTATACTTCCTTGGAACGCCTGTAACTTTTCCTGTAGCGACGATAGACCCTTACTTGTCCGGACAAAGTTATACTAAACATCTTCAGGGCTAGAGGGCACGAAGTGCCTGGAAGCCCCACTACCTTTTTTTTTTTTTTTTTTTTTTGTCAGGTCTATATTAACAAATTTAAACTGATGAAATTAGTCTGATTAGTCAAAATCCAATGAAATTGCTAATCTTTGACAAGTAAAAAAAATTATCTGACAATGTTCAAATCAGAGTTCTATGAAATTGATTCTAAGGATCTCTTCATGGAACAGGCAATTGAACTATTTCTAAGTGGAAACATAGAGGGATCATGGATATTTTTCAATCAATTTCCCAAAGAATTTCTTGAAAAAATATTTCGGATGTTACAGGAAGTACTTGAAAAAGAAAACTTTGCATTTATTGATAATTACTCGCATAAAAAGTACGCAAATTGGGCTCTTTCTGCACTATACAGCCGAGTAACTGACCATCGAATCATTTCAAGCGAAGATATTGTTTCATTTTCGTTTGAACAAGAATATAACATTCTAAGCACCGAGGTTGCAAGCTTAGTTTCCAGAAAAACTCCTTATTCCTCTGAAGAAATCAAAAAAATTGTTTCTCAGTTTCATAACATTATTTACAAATCACCATCACTCTACAGATGCATTTCCACCATGCTAGTACCTCTTATTGACTTTATAACTCCTGAAATTCTTTATTGTTTTCTCGGTTCTTCATCCATCGAACTTTTTACATTTCCTCCAATAAAACTGTTGCAAGAGAAGAAAGAATTCACATCAAATCCATTTTATTACCTCGGATGCTTCCAATTATACAAATCAAACCCAAACTTTCCGAAAATCATCCAAAAAACGATTTTTAATGACGCAAAGTACCCAAATAGTCACGAATTACTACCAAATGACAATATTTTCACATTAACTAATATGAGTATCCTCAATAACAAATCGTTTGCTGATATTCTCTTCAATTTCATTATTTCGACAGAGAATACATCGAAATTAGGAATGACATACTCAGAACTTGACTTCCTCAACGGAATAATCTATTATCCGAAGCTAATGAATCCTTTGAAGTATGGAGTTGACACAATATCAGAGTTATACACGTATTGTCAACTAGTCATCCACAAAGACATCCTTTCTGATACTCTTTTTAGACTTTTATCCGACTACAGTTTGATATCAAAACTGTTTCAGTCAAATATTTATTTTGATCCACTCCAGGACTCGCTTCCATACATCATGCAGGGCAAACTCGACGATGTCATCAACTATTACCACGGCCAGAAGTTTTTCAGGATATCCGACCATGATAGAGATACAGACTGTGATTTTGTTCTTTATTTGCGCGCATTCAAGTCTGTTCTTTCTTCAATGAAGTCTGGTGACTTTTCCTCGTGTTTCGACACATTGACGAGTTCTCTGAGGCAAATCTCACACAAAGAAACACTCAACAGCGCAGTTCTTGACTTATTTTCTCTTCTTTTTGTGAAGAAAAACGATTCATTCACTTTCCCTCCGAAATCCGCGCACGCACTGGTCACCATCCTTCTTCAGTTCGCCAGGCTGCCAGTTCTTGTGTACGCCGATTTCATCTTGAACATCTACAAGCCGCAGAACTTGCAGAACAGGCTTGATTCGTTTTTTATAGACGAGACGATGCTTTTCTCCAGCGCTCTCTCGACGAAGAACTGGGATGTCGCTGAGGCACTCGCAACAAGAAACGCCAAGTACATGTGCGCGTACAGAGTGGCTAAGGCCATGTCATCTATGCCGGATGGAAACTCAGAGATTCCTTCAGAGTTCGAAATGAGGTACAATGCTGAGATGGGCCTATCTTTCGCAGTCTTTCTTCCGAAACTGCTCTCTTCGAAGATAGAAAGCGAGTCTGTCGCAGAGATTGCAAACAGGAGACTCAGACTGAGCAGCGATGCGCTGTCATGCACAAGCAGGCTGTCGTGGGCCCCATTGGTCAAATTCGCATCAATGTTTGACGACAGGAAGATTTCTGTTTACGATCCGCAGATTCTGTTCATTTTGTCTAAGTCTCATCTCTTGGACACGTTTATTAAGATATTAAGTGACATATCCAAGGGAAAGGTAGCCTGCCTGCCATCAGACTCGACTGACAAAATACTGATTGAGAAGATAAACAACGGAGAGTTCCTGAAAGCAACAGAAATCAGCAACTTCTACAAGGCAAACTTGTTCGTGTTCATTTCCAGTTTCTGCTCAAAGATAAAGTTCACAAAAGAGTTCGTCTCCTATTTGTACAAAGACAATCCAATGGAGACAGTCGCTCTTTGCGAGTCAACAGACAACTTTGAGTATATTGAGGATAAAGCGCCGAAAATACTGAGAAAATTACATCAAATTCAGAAAAATCAAAATTCAATTGATTTTAATCGTTACATGAAATCAGATGAATGCGATTTTTGCGTGGAGGATGATATATTTTATTCGATTGATATAGAAAAGATCGAAATACATGACGATTTCAAGATGAAACAATTGTGCAATTTGTCTGAAATTTTTCCTTCTCAAAATGAAAAATTGTCACTTTTATGTAATTGTTACAAGAACAGTTCAATTAACGAAAATGTCACGTACAAGTACATGATAGATAATTTGTTTGCGATAAGAAAAGAGAGCGGCTGTTTTATGGAAACTCTGAAATTGTTTTTCTACTACGCGGAAAAAAGCAAAAATTCTGCAAATTCGCTCTGTAAAGAGGCAGGATTAAACGCAACAAAGATATCTGATATTTTACTGTACTTTCCAGAGTACTTCCCACATGTGCTCAACTTCTACAAGCCAAGAACTGCAGAGCACATTAAATTTTTCTCTTTGTGCGTTCCCTGTCAGTTTTTCAACGAATTTGCCGCGTTCAAAAAACTGCCTCTTTCTGTTTTGGAATTCTCTGATTTCGGCGACTCCAAATCAATCGAAAGCCAAATAGAAAAATTAAATCTCGACGGTTTGGAATTTGACAAAAATCTGACAAAGTTAATTTCCAAGGAATTCTTCGTGAAAATGGTTTTAGACTCATTGAACAAATTCTGCATCAAAAACTCAGTTGTAAAGTTATCAAAATTGTCAGAAATAGTTTACAAGTATTCAAAAATATTTAATGAAAATTTAACAGAAATCAAATCCGCCGCCACAGAATTCATTGAACAGTTCATCAGGAAATCGAGAGTTGCATCAGAATCAGACGAAAGAGAGTGTTTGAAGTTGTTTTCTTCGCTTTCAAACGTAAGGATTATTTTTACTGACGAAATGAGAAAATTTTTGAAGTTTGCAGAAGATTTCGTTCTTTCCGGACCTTTTATTAAGTACAACATCCAGTATTCATTTGAAAATTTCCCTTCTTTCCGCTGCTTGAGAGAGTTATCAAGAATTTGTTTCAAATTCGACAAAATGAAGCTTTGCTCTCTGATTGCGAACGAATACAAAGTGGATGTCAACGACTTATCACTTGTCTACGCAGAGAAATCACTGAAATTAGGATTCTGCGACATGAATCTACTCCAATCAATCAATCTGAAGATAGACGAGATGTTTATCACGAGGAATATAAGGCAGTCAGGTGATTTCGACATAAACATGCTGAAAAACATGGAAAATTTGGAAAAAATCCCGAATTCTTTCACTTCTTTGAGGAGTTTCTACTCCAAAAGCATCAAAAACATGAACAAAGCGAGAAACAAGACGCACAAATTCCTTGTTCCAGCACTGATTTCGAGGTTTATGAATAATGATTTCGTCGGAACAATAAAGTCGATGCTGAACTGCAGTTTGTACGACGAATCTATGACAATTCTGCTTTCTAAGGGAATGTCGCAGGATATTATATACAGCTTTGTTAATTCTATGTTTGTTTGGTTTATTTCTTTTTCGAACATCGAAAATCTGTTTCATTTGTTTTTGGAAATTGACGAGAACTTGAAGGAGTCGAGAGTTCTGTGGAACATGCTGATTCCTTTCCTTTACGAGCACAAAATGGCGGAAACACTGTATCAGGTGGTTGAATTGCTTGGAATCGGCGAAAAAGGTGCGAAAATGTTAATGGAAATCCAACCATTTTTAATTGACAAAAAAGAGAAAAAGAAAACAATAGAAAACGCTATTGTTTTGTACACGAAAAGTATGCTAGAAAAGCAGGACATGGACTACAATGAGATAAACATTTGTAACATACAAATCAAACTGCTGAATTTCGAAAATGATGTGGATTTCGTAAATAATAAAAATGCAGAAAAAGTTTGGAAAATTTTCTTCGAAAACGGAGATTTACAGAGTTGTATGTTTGTAGAAGAAGTATTCCACATGAATGACATGCTGTCCAATGAAATAGTCAAAATTGTTGACTCCGGAATTGAAAAAATCAAAAGTTTTGTTGAAAAGTTGAATTTTTCTGAAAATTCTTACCCGATGCTGGAGATAACGAAAAAGATGTGCAGACACAGTGATCTGAGAGTGTTTATACCTGAGATAGTGGAGAAATGGAATCTGGATGTGAAAGTTCATATAAATATTTTGTTGATGAACGGATTTGTTAAAGAAGCTTTTGATTTGTGCAAAAATGGAGTTCCAAACAAATATATTATAGAGATTGGAAGATACGCATTCGAATCTGGTCTCTATGACATCGCAAATCAATGTAATATGCTACTTCATTAATTTTTACTTTTTTTTTGTTTGTTTATAAAAAAATATATCTATAGATAGTTTATATAAATTCTTATCATGACTTTGTAATGATTAAAGCAAACAAATTTATTTATTAGTGAAGAAAGTTCGTTTCCATTTAGAGAAGGTATTTTGATATTTGAAAAATATAAGGACTTTGAAAACTAACTCACATACACACACACATTTTTTAAAAAAGCACCCGACGGGAGTCGAACCCGCAATCTCTGCTTCCGGAGAGCAGAATCATATCCATTAGAACACGGATGCTATTCGTAATTTTTCTAGGTTGTGATCTTATCATTTATTAATGGCACTTTTCTAATTATCAATAACACTTCAATTAGGAAATTTGATTTTTCCTAGATTTCCTATATACATAATAGATCTCAGCCTTTATTATATAATAGCCTCTTTATTAAAATAACTACCTAATTGCGATATTGTCAAAACGTGAAGCATATCTTGAATTGTGGATTTCATTTTTGTTGTTTTTCCTACTAATTTTCATTGTATTCTTATAATTTGGACAAAAGTTGCAATTGATATTCAAATTTGTGCTATTATTTGCTTTTTAAAGAAATCAAACGAAGAAATTGCAAATTTACAATTTATTCCATAAAGCGGACTATATAATAAATAGGATAACATTGTAAATTAAAAGTAATATAGGAATTTCAATACCACCCAGTTTATACCCTTAAATTTTTGTTATTGGACAAAAAAGTGACACCAAATCACACTTGTTTGTTGGATCTTACCATTCCAGATAAATATAGCAACTTGATTTTATGAAATTAGATAGATATATATGTGTACTTTTATCCCGTGTTGTTTTCTCGAAAACCTAATATCCTATGGGGATGCTGATTTTGAGCTTGTGTAAAAGTCAAGTGTCAATTATATGGCAATATTCTACCATATGTGGTGATGATATTTCAATATGTGTCTTTGTTAAAATTAAAAGTTTGAGATGAAATCAGCCTTATTTTATTTTGATGTGGTATTATTTTTTGTTCTCTATGATGCATTATAATAACATATTGATTTTCTTGAGAGTTTGGCACAAATCACGTCAAAAGATTATTGATGTCTGGCACGATCATGAGTTGTGCTTTTTTTGGCTTGTCGGGGTATTTTGCCTAATGGTTAGAACAGAATGGCTATGTGTTGTCGATAATCATAAATAATTTATTTGGCGCTATATTGTTTATCTAATTTGCAACTATATATTCAGGGGCTAAGACGGTTTAGAGGAATAATGCACATAATGAGAAGGCTAGAAGTCGTGATTTTTTGGCGTATTACAAAAAAATCCTATAAAGAATCATATTTGAGCCATATTTTTAAATGCAATGATATAGTTATGGAATTTATATCCAGAATATATAAAGTAATATGAAATTGAGACTGAATAAAAAAAATATAAAAAAAAATAAAGGAAATTAAGTAAAAATATGTTTGACATTTATCAAATATAGGTAGAAAATGTGGTGGTACATTTATTATCAAAAAATAGGGTTAAAATTTTTGAATAAAAAAAATATTCGATTAGAACAAATTATAAAGTGAAAATATAAATCTTACTTAAGAAGATTAATGATTGGTGATATAAAATGCTAAATTTTAATAGAAGCAAAATAAAAAATAAGCGATCTTATATTATTATTAAGAAAACAAACAATAATCTTTTTGGCATAATGGGATGGTCTGTATGCCAAGATTAAATGGATTGAGTTCGAATCAGGACAGTATTTTTTTTGATTTTCGCATTTGATACTCATAATATTAAAATAGGATAAAATTAATGATATATTTATAAGGTAGATTTCAAATATATAAATATCAAAGAAAATGACAAACTTTTTTCTTATTTTTTTTTATTTTAAGGATACCCTTACATTGCGTAGTTAGAAAGAGAATATGATATTGTCATGATTGCTAAAGTTTTAGGCTCCAGAAATGAATATACATCAAACTGAAACAATTGATAAATTGAATGAACTTTTGAGAGGTTCTCAAATAAAAAAAATTATCTAATTTTTTACAATATTACTATTATTTTATCCACATATGTATATATAGTAATTTGAGAAAACTTTTAGGAAAAAATAAGTTTAATAAAAATCTGAATTTTACTTGTTGTGGGATTGTTATTAATTGACACTCCAGACGTATTACTAATAGTTATGCGTATGCAATTAAAGTATTTCTGATGGACAAAATGTGAGATTTATATCAGATAATTCATTTCTACTATTAAGTTATTCATTTATGAGTTTGCACTTATTCGCACTAAATAAATAACTATTAAAAATTGTTTTAATTAATTGACACCATATAATAGAGTGAATTTTGTTTGATCAAACAACAATAGATGATAGATATAAAGCCAAGAAACTTGCTATTAATATGCTCTACTTGCTATTTCAATGTAAGTATGATATTTTCTAAATGTTTCGTTCAGATTCCTTAGATATATTAGTCAAAATTTGAAATTTTAATAGCACATATATTAAAAATAATTATTATTCATAAAAGATTAATGAAATAGTAAAAAAAATCAATCAAATTATAAAAATACAACATTTAGAAGAATTCTTATTATCCTTCAAAAAGTCAGTATTTCTGCTGTAATTTTCTACAACATTGTAGTTATTGCACTTTGTCTATGAATTTGTATATATGTTATATATAAATTATATATCTAAACTGCCCATAAGTGCAATTTTTATATAAATTGTTTATTTCTTTAACAATTTCATATGAAATATGCTTTTTTAAGCGTATCAAAGCTGTGTTCTTAATGTGCATGGATATATCAAGAAAAATGTCGAAAAAAAATGTGAATTCACAAATTCACTGAATTTTCACCGTTTTTTGAATTTTGCTACAGCACTACTATTAAATAAAAAAAAAAAAAAAAAAAAAAGGTAGTGGGGCTTCCAGGCACTTCGTGCCTTCTAGCCCTGATGTTGATGTTTAGTATAAATGAAGTTTTTATTCGGAGGACTCTTCTTCTTCCTCCATTGCTTCTGGGAAGAAGCCTTCTTCTGGGTCGAAAACATTATATAATGTGTCGCTTTTCACAAATTATATATGTTTTCATGTTTTGTCACTTTTCTGTCACTTTTCAGGAAAAAAACATTTTTATTATTATATATAAATGAATTTTACAAAACCACCGTTACCGTTCTTTGGAAATAAGAGTAAATGTAAAGATATTATATTGAGAGAACTTAAGAAACTACCGAATGGTCTAACATTTGTAGATTTGTTCGGTGGAAGTTTCTATATATCCCATTTGTGCCATATAATATTCCCAGACTCAAAGATTATATGCAATGACTTCGACAACTATATGGACCGTCTCAAACATATACCAGACACAAACAATATATTGAAAGAGTTAAAAGAAAAGATACCTATAGGTAAGATGGAACGTATACCATTAGATAACAAAAATATTGTGAGAGAGGTTTTGAAAAAAGCAGAATATATAGACTGGAATAGTATATCTGCTAGACTATTATATAGTGGTGCTATAAGAGTTCATGACATTGAAACACTTATGTCAAAAGTTTTATATCTTAACTATACAAATGTTTTCAAAGAGGACATAGAAAAATATATTGAGGGTATAGAGTTTGTGAGATGTCATTGGACAGATTTGTATGAAAAATATAAAGACAAGAAAATGTTTTCTTTATAGTGGACCCGCCGTTCTATAACACATGGGATTTTCAATACCAAGTAGACTGGACTTTGAGAGACTCTTTAGAAACTTTAGACGTTTTACATAACTGTCCATGCTTTTACTTTACATCCGATAAAAGTGGTTTGGAAACCGTTATGAGATGGTTAGAGGACATACATGACTATGAGTTTATATATGACAAGATAGAATATGAGAGAGGTCCTATAAACTGGAGAAAGTGTCATAACAAAGAAATTTTATTAGTAAGTAAATGTGGTTTGAAATAGGACTACTTGTTTTAGGTTTTTTCCATTGTGTCATTTATTTATTTGACGTGGCAGAAAAGTACAGAGAATATGAAGATGAACCAATGCCTGCAAATGTTCAGTATATGTACTCGTAAGAGATATTTTTATCTAATATTAAATGGACGCACAGAACTTAGCGAATGCACAGCAACCTGGACAACCAAACCCAGAGAATATTCCAAATGAAGTTAGAATACAAACTGCAATGGCAAACTATGGTCAAGTGCCAACAGATGTACAAATGCAAACTGCCATGTCAAATGACGCTGCGTTAGGTTTGCCACCATGGTATGCAAATATGAGATGGAAAGAGTTTTATACAAACCCTGAAGTGGGATATAAACAACTTTATGCAGATGACGCGAACACAGGAGTTGACCAGAATATGTTTTCTACCAGAGGAGAAACAGAATGTATGAGCTCCAGTTAAAGAATGCTATGGAACTCAACAGGAAACGTAAGAGACTAGGCGGACATTAGATTTTTACACGTAGTAAAATGGGTTTCTTCAGTAGTATTGGAAACTTCATTCGAAATGTTGGAAGAGGTATATGGAATGGAATAAAAACCGTAGGAAGAGGAATTTGGAACGGAGTCAAAAATATTGGTAAAAGAGTAGGTCAGTTTGTTGGTATTATACCTAAAGACCCTGAACCAGAAGAACAAGCTCCTGTTATACAACAGCCTGAACCTGCACCACAGTCTAGTTGGCAACCAAATCCAACACCTCAACCGTATTAAAAAATTATATTTTTACCGTTCGATAGTAGTTGTATATGAAACTAAGTTCTAAGTAAAACGCATGGTATAATGGAATTATTCTTTTTCTTCCATCTGTAGTAAACCATACTTGAAAGTCTGAAATACTTCCACTTGGTGGTTCGTATAACTTTGTAGGTTTTTCGTAAAAGTCATTTGCCAAGCATAAGAAAGAGTTTTGAGCGCCAGAAAATGAAGCATGAACAATAATAGCAGCTGGGTCGAAA